AAACGGCACCAACGAGCACAACGCCGTAGAGTGACATCTCCCAAGATTCTTCTAGTATATACTAAAATCCCCACTGTACCAAATAGCAGTGGCAGATATAAGGCATAGATATAAGACCCTAATATAAGGCCGAGGCAGGTCTCCAGATAGGGCGAGGACAGGCCTCCAGACAGGAGCCCTTACAGTTTATGTAAAATTAAAAAATGATTTCAAGCCTCATAACTCGGAAAGTATTTAATGAAAATTAACTTAATTATAGTTTTGGAAAGCTCTCGAGATGAGCTACAAGAATATGCAATAAAAAATTGGAATTTCCGTTTACAGAATTCAAGGTGACCTTTACATGACCTTGACAACGCTCTTCAAGGTCATACTGATATCGCTATGTAATGCGTTACTTGAACTTACAACTTTTGTCTAAAATATTTTTATCTGCCGCGCTCTGTTTTTGAGATATTCAATTGATAATACGGGTGGTCTGCGACACCCTATATATATATAGAAATATTATTATTGAATATCTTTTTTCATTATATTTTTTTTTAAATTGTACTAAGTCTATCATAATATTTATGTATATATATATATATATATATATATATATATATATATACAGGGTGTCAATTAAGTCCCGGGACGGCTGAATATTTTCTCATGTAAGGTATTTTCGAAAAAGGTCAAGGTCATTTCTGAAGTAATTTTCAACGAGGAATTCAATGGTGACCTTCAATTTGACCTTGAGCTTGATCTTCAAGGTTATTTGAAGGTCAAAGTGTTTTTTTTAAATAGGAACCCCTATTTTTGATTGTATATTCTTATAGCTGACCTCGAGAGCTTTCCAAAACACTATAATAAAATATTTTTCCCTCAAGCATTTATCGAGTTATGATGCTTCAAATCATTTCTTAATTTTACATAAACCGTAAAATATCTTGTAAAATATTCACTTTTCGATTATTTTACCTTAATACTTTTATGTACAAAATAATGAGAGGAATCAATTGGCGTAAAGAAAACATATAGTTGTTTTTAAGAAAAAATATGTAATTTGCAATTAACAATTCCATATTTTTTCTTAAAAACAACTATATGTTTTCTTTACGCCAATTGATTCCTCTCATTATTTTGTACATAAAAGTATTAAGGTAAAATAATCGAAAAGTGAATATTTTACAAGATATTTTACGGTTTATGTAAAATTAAGAAATGATTTGAAGCATCATAACTCGATAAATGCTTGAGGGAAAAATATTTTATTATAGTGTTTTGGAAAGCTCTCGAGGTCAGCTATAAGAATATACAATCAAAAATAGGGGTTCCTATTTAAAAAAAACACTTTGACCTTCAAATAACCTTGAAGGTCAAGCTCAAGGTCAAATTGAAGGTCACCGTTGAATTCCTCGTTGAAAATTACTTCAGAAATGACCTTGACCTTTTTCAAAAATACCTTACATGAGAAAATATTCAGCCGTCCCGGGACTTAATTGACACCCTGTATATATATACAGGGTCTACCAAAAGTGTGGAAACCCCTAAATATCTCGGAAAATATACGTTTTACAGAAAAGTGTTTCCAACAAAAGTTGTAGGGTTTAAGAAGATCTATATACTGATTCTATCAGTTTGACCTTGGATGGCGTCGTCAAGGTCAGGTCAAGGTCACATTGACTTTTTTAAATGACACCCCCTACATTTGATTGCATATTCTTATAGCTTAATTCAAGAGCTTTCCAAAACACTATAATAATGTTCATTTTTATTAAGTACTTTGCGAGTTATGAGGGTTGAATGATAGAGTAGCGCCGGTATTAACATTATCCAAGGTGTACTACATGGAGGTTACTCGCTCGGATTTGCATCTGTTGTGTGTGTGATCCAGCTAACTAAGGCAAGATCGGTCGTGGATCCAGTCAGCAAAAGCAAAGACCCAACCAAATTACAATCGAGCATTTAAAGACCTGGAAAGCAATCGACATAGTAAACAGTAAATAAATTTGTGGATGCTCATTTATCATAATAATTGTTCGAAATGTGTGCGTGTGCGTGCGTGCGGTGCGTGTATACAGAGATCAGGTTAGGTTGCACCAAACGATTGCAAATGTGTTTCAATGTGTTAAAGTAAATGCTGAAAGTGGCTGCCATTTACTTCCTGACAATATGCTAATCTTTGGTAGAATGTAGAAATGACTTTACGATTCGTTTCAAAAGGTATCAAAGCCATTTCATCCCTTATTCGCTGTATCAATTCGTGAATGGTTTTAGGTTTTGTTCTGTAAACCTTACTCTTCAGATATCCCCATAGATAATAATCAAGAGGAGTTAGATCTGGTGACCGAGGTGGCCAATCCTCTCCTCCCTCATTTCCGTTCCTTCTTCCTATCCACCGTAGCGGAAAAGTCTCATTTAAAATACGACGTGGTCCTGCACCAAAATGAGCAGGAGCTCCATCATGCTGAAACCATATTTCTTGGAAATTATTTGGAAAAGTATTCTGTATGGCTGGAATTATTTGATCAACAAGTAATCTCTCATACCTTTGAGCGTTCAAATATTCTTCAAAAAAAAACGGCCCTATTAAATAGCCATCTATTCTTCCGCACCATACATTTATTTTTTGTGGATGTTGTGTGTGAGTTTCCCGCACCCAATTCGGATTCTCATCTGACCAGAAACGAAAATTTTGATTATTAACTTCTCCCGTTAAGGTAAAAGTTGCCTCGTCTGTGAAAACAATTTGATAAGGGAAGATGGGCCGGACATCTATTAGTGCCATCATTCTTTCACAGAAATGTATACGACGCTCCTCATCTCCGTTTTGCAATTCTTGAACGTATTGCAATTTATATGGATGGAACTTGTTCTTCTTTAAAATTCTCCAAACCGACATGGGAGCAATATCGTGAGTTTGAGCGACTCTCTGAACACTAGAATTGGGATCTTCAATAAATGTCTGCAGAACATCAAGTTGTTTTTCTTCGTTGGTTGCAGACAATGGTCTTCCTGACTTAGAGCGATTTCTTACGCTACCAGTTTGTCTAAAACGTTCTATTGTTTTTAACACAGTGGACTTATTAATTCGACGGTTCGGATACGTGTCATTAAATAATCGAACGACATCAGAGAACGATCTTTCGTTATCACCCCATCCACGCATCATGAGGATAGTGATTCTTTCACGTTCCGACAAGTCGCCAGCCATTTTTAAAACGTTTAATTTTAATTAATCGTACGTTGTATTTGGACGATAACAATTAATTTCTGCTTGCTCAAAGCTGAAGTTAGAAGGTGCTCGTTCTTTGATAGCTTTATACATTCTTAGTTGAATTTTAAATGCGAGTTAGACTGCATGTAGTGCGTCACATAGCGGTAAATGAAGGAACTAACGAGACGTTTCATACACGTTTTATGGAGCAATTTTTTGGCAATTTGACTTCAGCGAAATATGAGGATATGTTGAGGAATCGATCTTGCCTTAGTTAGCTGGATCACACACACAACAGATGCAAATCCGAGCGAGTAACCTCCATGTAGTACACCTTGGATAATGTTAATACCGGCGCTACTCTATCATTCAACCCTCATAACTCGCAAAGTACTTAATAAAAATGAACATTATTATAGTGTTTTGGAAAGCTCTTGAATTAAGCTATAAGAATATGCAATCAAATGTAGGGGGTGTCATTTAAAAAAGTCAATGTGACCTTGACCTGACCTTGACGACGCCATCCAAGGTCAAACTGATAGAATCAGTATATAGATCTTCTTAAACCCTACAACTTTTGTTGGAAACACTTTTCTGTAAAACGTATATTTTCCGAGATATTTAGGGGTTTCCACACTTTTGGTAGACCCTGTATGTATATATGCATGCGAGGCGAGAATCGAAAACAGAACAAAACTCGTCACATTTGTTTGCGATTGGCGGTTTGATTTACTCTAATAAATTGATCCAAGTTATGCATAATTTGAATTTTAAGTATAAGTGCTAAAATTTTACAATTAACTTAACTTTTAGTACACATCACATTAAATTAATGATTAAATTAATTATTATTAAATTAATTATTAAATTAATTATTCGATGTTCAAAAACATTAAATTATAGTTAATATTTTTTTGTTTATTGACTCAAAATCTTATAAATTAAATACACAATATTACAATTCAATGTAATGAAATTTATCTCGTGCTAATTTAATAATCACTGTTGTTCGAATAATTGTACTATTACATAAATCATTTTTTCAAAAAATCTCTCACAGTTACGCCAAAAAGGCATTTTAAAAGCCTTACACTTTATTTCTTCAAGCGGAATTATTATGGATTCTTCGGATAATTTTGAACACTTAAAAATTCCAATTTTTCGAGAATCTAAATCATCAACGTTATATAAAGAATCCACTTCCTGAAATTTCTGTACTTCCAAATGGTAATTATTTGTATCGTTTACATACAATATATTTTTCAATATGTACACATTACTATCAAATGAAATGCAACAATTGTTACGTTTATTTAAATCATACGTAAATCCTCGAAATTTTATACTCGAAAATTGTTTGGTAATTCTATGATCGGATGACTGTACAAGAGGGCCATTCCTTTTTGCATTAAATGCGTGTGCGACTTTTGTAGAAGAAATTTGTAATGATGGTTGTCTACATTTCTTTTCTTCAAATCTTTTATATATTTGTTGCAATTCTTGAGAAGGTTTTCGTACCATTTTCCGGAAAAAAGTCATATTATTTTCAAATGGAAAACATGAAAAATGATCTAAAGGTCCAAAATTACGAGCATCGTTTGTCAGATGCAAAAGACCATGCGTATTATACGATAAAAATCTTCTGCCGTATATATCAGCGCTTTCGGATACAAACTTTCGTAATATATCTTCGGCCATACCAATTTCACTCATCGATCTCTCATTGAAACTAATCAAAATTCGTATAGCGTAGTGTAATTTCAAAAAATGCTTAATTCGCTTATCCTCTCCAAATAAATCAAGCATAATAGTTGGTCCTGTATAGAGCAAAAATTGTCGATATTCTGTTGCCTTAAAACGATGTAAATAATTTAAACTTCTTGGTTTGCGAGAAAACTCTTTTGGACAATACTCAGCAAGAGTGATCAGGCGATCTGAAATTCGTAATATCACATCTGGCGATAATTTTTTAGATTGAAATTTTCCTTCTATTAATGCTTCAAATATCTTCTTCATAAGTCCCAAACACACCAAGTGCATGTAATCGTGAGGTGTTTGACTTACTGGTCCTAAAGGTAAACTATCTAATGCAGATTTACCGCGATGATGCTCGGGATTTTTAAGTTGTCGAAAATCGTTGTCATTTCTTGCTGGATAATTTTCTCCTTTGAAAATGACTGATGAATCAGTTTTGCGTCTTTCGCAAGGTATTTTACATTTATGACAACTGTTGAAGCCCGTATGTCCAACAATATTTAAGCAATCAGCCCTTGCGGGTGTGTCAGCTATAAAACATCTTACTTTTAGCTTGATTATTCTGTTTTTATAACATATTCCTTCTCTAATAAGATCTAATAATTCTTCATTGAAATCTTCTAAAAAGTCTGCAAAATTAGCAGGTTTCTTTTTTCCTGCGTATAATCCCGCAATCATAGGACTTCTATCAGGAATATTAAAAATTCTAAATTGTATAGGATAAATATCGTATTGAACATTTTTGTATATATTGGCTCCATCAGTACTGAAGTCAAATAAGATTGTTGATGGTATATCTGTATCTGCAGTTTTCGAAAGCATATTCAAAATATTAGGCTTTATTCCAATATGAATATATTCCCCGGGATTAACGATTCGAGGTAATATACGATGTCGTGGAGTTTTCAATAAACTTCTGGCATCCTTAGGCAATTTGACAAGACATTTATGTTGTCGCAAAACATATAGAATTGCATTAATTTGCACATGATTCATGTTGGTACGAGAACATGAATCTGCTAATTTTTCAGCAAAAGTCATTTCTTTTTCAGGCTTAGCAATAATATTTTCCTCCTCAATGAAAAAATCATTCCTGCCGCCGCTGTTATTGTCACTGAAATTATCGTTATCAATCATATTTGAATCAGAAGATGAAGTATAATAATTATTGTAAGACTGTTCATTATTATCGTCAACTGTATTCATTGATTCATTAGTTTCAAATAAGTATTCATCTACGGCGATATCGGTTGTTGGTTCGCTTTTATTGTTTTTAGAAATCGCAATTGCGTGTTCGTGATTCATGCGATCTTCCGATGAATGATCATTATTAAAATTATTGTTAGTAATAATATTCGTTTTAACAGTCTTGATTTGCATTTGACGACGTCGACGTTTTTGTCGCTCAGACAAATCATCTGCCTTTTTTCTTTTGTAGACTAACACTTTCTTATTCATTATTTACTTACTATTTCACCAATAACCTTTTTACTTACAAAGACGCAAGAGACGCCTCCTAGTCTTAGCTTCGCGCAAACTAGACTGAAACAATTGCCCATTTACCAATAACATTGATAATTGCTAACAATTTCCGAAAATATCATTCTAGAGAAGTTTAATTTCATTACCTATACATTTTCCCGAAAGTATTTGATTGATTGTGATATTATGCTAGATTCTTCTAATATATCTTACATATCAGCTATATTAGCATGTTTTAAGCATGTTTATGGTAGTTACTACTTATATAGCTATCAATGTAATGTAAGTTTTCTTCTATTGTAATGTATTATATTCTTTAATTATTTAATGTCTATCATTTCACGTAAGAATATCTAAGATATCAGTAAAGAATAATATACTTATAATTTTTTCTATCTATCGTTAAAGATAGAATACTACGAAATAACTAATAGTAGCTTATTGCTAAGTCTATTAAATAGGTGGAAAATATGAAACATGTTGTTTCTTATAATAGTAAATCTATATAAAGCTTGCAATTAAATATATATTATCTCGATATTGTTAACTACTAAGTTAGTTTATCCTACCTGTGCTATCTGGGATATGTTGTAATAAGAAAGATTTGTTTCTTTAAAGAAATCATTGCACGTTTTTATAAAATAAATATATAAATAAATATATAAATAAATATTTTTTTAAACAAATATGAATATAATTTATATTTTAAAAGGAATTATTAACAAGGGGAACCCACGTGCTAGGAAATGAAGTTCGGGATGAGGTTTCATGTTATAATAGTAGTATTCGAAACTTATAAAATGAATAAAAAATGCATTTTCTGACATGAGACGTTATTTATAATATTCACGAATATATGTCAGAAGATAAGATATGCATTTTTTATTCATTTGGAAGTAATTTTAATAGAATAATAAGAATGTTACGATTAAAATAATATCAAACACAATATAAGTAGCATAAATTTAGTTAAATATGTAATTATAAAACTTATATTATCAGACTAATTAAAAATTATCCGACTTACGCCATGTTTGATATCATTTTAATTGCAAAAATCTCATTAATTCATTGAAATTATTTTCAAACCGATGAAATTAAAAATAAAAGTTTTAATTTTTATTTTATAAGATGTTCACATTATCGAGAATTGCAAATGGATAGAGGAAGCGAAGAAACCCATTGCAAGAGACTTCGGAACTCTTTGATGATAGGTCATCTCGCTCGCTCTCTATTCATGATTTTGCTTTCTCCGTCACACTTGACAATCGTGATAGACAACTCGAAAAGATAAGCAGACCCAAGAATCGAGAGCGAGCGAGACAGTAATAGATGCGAGCGAGACAATAATAGGAGCGAGCGAGACAGTAATAGATACGAGCGAGACAATAATAAGAGCAAGCGAGACAGTAATAGATGCGAGCGAGAGAAAAATAATAATGTAAAAGAAAGATCCGATTCTCGAGCTCGAGTCCTCGTTACACGTGCTATTTCTATTTCATTCGCTCTTATTGTTATTTCGCTCGTTCTTATTATCTCGCTTCCTCATGTAACTTTTGCATCACTTTAGTAGTTAGTACTAGGCGGATTCTACTCAGGTCCTCTCAGGGAGGTGAGGTGCGAGGGGATCTCAGCGGAGCGGGGGTATGACGTCACGCGGGATTGCGGGGTGGAAGATGCACGTGTTGGATGTTTTATGACATGCATAAACAAGAAAAAAGAGCGGTATTCTTTTGAAGATGATTTGGGCCTAACCCAAAAAATCATTTTTTATCATCTTATTTTATTTTATTTTATTTTTTATTTTATTTTTTATTTTACTTTTTGAGGAAAAATTTTAACAGTGCCAATGTTCGACTGCTTTGTCTCCCCCCGCTCCCCCCGTTTACATATCAGCGCCGATGTTCGGCTGCTTTGTACTCTCGAGGTACACCCCTAATATAGATAATTCCAGGTTTTTTTTTCCCGTTCGACGTATAAACAATAGAGATTAAGCGGACAAGCTTTCAGAGATTGTCGGGGACAAAAATTTTTTTTTGCAAATGGGATATTGTAAAAAAACCTTTTATACCCTTATATATATTTTTAATAACTTTATTTCATAAACTTATATTTTTGAGATATTTCGGTCCAGCCTTTGTCCCCCGTTTACATATCAGCACCGATGTTCGACTGCTTTGTGCCCTTGTCGCGTGAGAGAGAACGATACTTATAATAATAAGACTTATAATTAATGCGAGAGCGCACGAAGGATTGGAGCGTAAGGAAAGACATGTAAATAATTGCATTTTTTTGTTATAATTAAAGATATATAGTATAATTTATTTGTAATTTATTTGTAATTTATTTATAATTTATTTATAATTTATTTATGTGTGAATTTAATAAAAAGTATACAATATAAAAGAATTAATAAAGAAATTAAATTTTCGAACATAAATTTTCGTGCGTAAATTTTCAAACATAAATTGTTCGCGAAAAAATTTTTTAAGACATGTACAAGGCATTTATACATACAGGGTTGGGCAAAAGTCCGGAAACGGTCAAATATCTCGAAAAGGATCAACTATAGCGAAAAATTGTAAATAGCAAAGTTGTAGGGCTTAAAAAAATGTACCTAATGATGACTAAAAATTTTACTTTGAGTGGAGGACGAAGATCATATAAAAGTCAAATTGAATTTTTTAAATGGAACTGCCTACTTTTTATTGCATATTCTTATAGCTGACCTCGAGAGCTTTCCAAAACACTATAATAAAATATTTTTCCCTCAAGCATTTATCGAGTTATGAGGCTTCAAATCATTTCTTAATTTTACATAAACCGTAAAATATCTTGTAAAATATTCACTTTTCGATTATTTTACCTTAATACTTTTATGTACAAAATAATGAGAGGAATCAATTGGTCTAAAAAAAAACACATAATTGTTCCGAAGAAAAAATATGTAATTTGCAATTAACAATTACATATTTTTTCTTCGGAACAATTATGTGTTTTTTTTTAGACCAATTGATTCTCATTATTTTGTACATAAAAGTATTAAGGTAAAATAATCGAAAAGTGAATATTTTACAAGATATTTTACGGTTTATGTAAAATTAAGAAATGATTTGAAGCCTCATAACTCGATAAATGCTTGAGGGAAAAATATTTTATTATAGTGTTTTGGAAAGCTCTCGAGGTCAGCTATAAGAATATGCAATAAAAAGTAGGCAGTTCCATTTAAAAAATTCAATTTGACTTTTATATGATCTTCGTCCTCCACTCAAAGTAAAATTTTTAGTCATCATTAGGTACATTTTTTTAAGCCCTACAACTTTGCTATTTACAATTTTTCGCTATAGTTGATCCTTTTCGAGATATTTGACCGTTTCCGGACTTTTGCCCAACCCTGTATATATTTTACTTCCTCCTTCTCCTCCTCCTTATATATTTTGTCCAATTCTTTCTCATCTTTTAAATGTGGGAAGGTACAACGCAGAAAGAGCATGAACATCCAAATAAAAATATCCAATATGATGGTCGCAGGGGACTGCTCCTGAAACAAAAGAAAACATATACATTTCATTAGTTTAAATAATTTAATAATTTATTTTAAGATACTTTTGATATAATAAATTAAAAGATACTTACAATGTTATCCATGACTCATCTATTTTAATGTTTGCAAACAGGGCACATGTCGCATGGCATTACTTGATGTAAAGATTTCCTGCACTCTCTGCATGACATAGCCTCTATATTACAATAAGTTGTGGTTCTATGTTCTCGAACAGATTTAGCCTCAACAAATAAAAACGCTCGTTGGATAAAGCATTCGGTGCAATATTTCGAATTTTCTTCATTTTCTTCATAATACCACGATATGCAACATATTTTTAGCGTTTCATTCAATGTCAATATTTCAGATAGTTCTAGGTGTCGTTGTTTTTTTTGCCATAATTCACCATCCTCACTATCATCACTATTATAATCACTATCCGTCAACGGTTCTATTACATCAAGTAACATTTCATTATCAGGCCCATCCTCGTCTGATAATTCGTGATCACCAATATCCATCTCTCTCTCCTCTCTCTCTCTATCTCCATCCTCTCAGCCACAATCAGATCCATATCGTAATCATCATCATCGATAATAATTACTTCAGCCATTGCACAAGATTACACAGAAGAGCAACGAAAGAAAAACACAGAAGAGCAACGAAAGAAAAAATAATACTCTAGTGCAGCTCCTTTTCCTTTTATATATTTTTTAACATAAAACAATATACAGCTGTATTCCTTGGAAGAGGATTGCATCTTAGGGCACAACCTTTTTTCTTTTCTTTTCATTTTCTTTTTTTTTTATCGATGTTCATGTTCTTTCTGCGTTGTACCTTCCCACATTCAAAAGATGAGAAAGGATTGGATGAAATATATATAAAGAGGAGGAGGAGGATTGAAACATGTCAAATCATAGTACGGAGGCGCGGGAGATGTTTGGGGACGTGTTGGATGTTTTATGACTAGCATAAACAAAATAGAGCGGTATTTGAAGAGGATTGGATGTTAGGGCCGGCCCAAAATTATTTTCCATATTTTTTCTTGGAAGAATTGCAACGTATCAGCGCCGATGTTTGGCTGCTTTGTGCTCTTACCACGCGTGTGAGAGAGAACGAATTTTTTCTGAGATGTGAATAAAAAATGATTATTACGATACACCATACTTATTTATTTTACGCAAAGATAAAAAGATTTAGACGAAATACAGGGATGATTGAAGCGTGTTCAAAAATGAACGAATCTGCCAAAAGATGGGCAGAGCAATTCGCGATCGCATTTGCATTAGCCGCGCCGTACACTCATAACGGCGGCGGCCGACGCGCGCGCGCGACGCTTATAAAATTCTTTACGAATCCGAGCGTGACATTTTACTTTGAATTATTAACGTCTTTCCACCAAACGGTCGCCCGAAAGGAGGGGCATATATCAACAGAGCAATAAGCTAGTCTTGACTTTAAAACATTATCAACAAATAAACACGACTAGAAAATTCTAAGTCTAGAAAATTCGAGCGACTTCTAGCCTCCTGTTGATATATAAACCCCTTCGCGCGACCGTCCTCATTCACTTGCGTTAGTATTCCTAAGCAACAGTGCGCTACTCCTCGGAAACGAATTTCATAGAACCAGAAGTTCTCGCCGGCCTTCTGGAGTCCGTCGCTTGCGGACTTTTATTCTTCGTCGCTTCAAATTAGAAAATCGCGTTGCTTTCCGCGCTATATTATTGAGCCTTAAAGAGAGATACTTTATAATAAATCCGATATCGATAGATAGTGATTTTTTTTATTGTAAATAAGACTAAGTGTAAAATAAACTTTAACTTTAAACTATTCTCGCTGTCACTTTGTCTCCTACCGCGATCTCGCACAAAGCGCATCAAGTCACTGTGATTTGAGCGCATCGACACGCCGGTTGTAGGAGAGTATAGTGGTGTCCTGTTAGAAAGATTTTTGCGCGATTTCACGTTCAAGCGAACGGTATTGTTTATCGTGTGCAAAAAGTGCAAATGCTCCGTAGAAAAGTTTGACGTAGTGTAAAAAAGATAAGAAGAAATGGAAAACATCGAGCAGACTGAACGCGATCTGATGGAGCGATCTCACCAAATTATCACCTTGGGCGAGTATTTTGCATGGCTGCAGCGTTGCGAGGAAATAATCAAAGAGCTCGAAGAACGCAGTCGTGTCAAGCGTCCGCGACTCTTGATCGGATGTAGACAATCCCTGGTAGCCAAAATCGCGCGACTCGAAAGTGCAAAAATTCGATTGCAGAGACGATTTATTCCCAGTGGTGGCGATTACAGCGATGACAATAACGCGGAAAGACTCGATTGGCGAGAGATCGATACCGCGTTTGATAGCCGAATTTTGACCGGTGCTGTAATTAATACAAACCATATCGAACCTCGTCAATTTCTCGAGGATGCCGAAGACATTGTGATAGAACATGTGCAGGACGCTCTAAGAAAACACAACACTGTAAAAGTGAACACTGTGTTTAATGGTGAATTTGTGGCCGGAGATAAACGCGCCAATAAAAGTGTAAATACGAGAAACTGTGAAGTCTTTCGCACATCGGATTTACACGAGTGGTACGAACGGCGCGTTATCGAGTCCATCCTAGCATCTCTGGAAGAGTTTCAGGAACGCGACAGCGGGTGGGCTTTGTCGCGAATACAGAATTTAAATGTAAATATAAACAAGTATAATCCTTTGTGTGCGGGATGTCACATCAAGTTACCGCGAGAGATTGCAACGAAGAGAGCGGTGATAAACGTGCAATCGAAAGACAATGCGTGTTTCGCGTGGGCAGTGGTCGCCGCCCTATACTCCGCCGAAAGGAACGCGGAACGGGAATCATCGTACCCGCATTACGCGACAGTGCTGAATCTCCGGGACATTGAATTTCCAGCGACTGTGAATCAGATTAAGAAATTTGAATATGCAAATAACATTTCAATCAACGTGTACGGCATCGAAGACAAGAACGTTGTCCCGATACGTCTTTCGGATCAGAAGCGGGACAAGCATGTTAACTTGCTGTACATTGAAGATGACAACAGCGTGGGACACTTTGCTTGGATAAAAAATTTATCCAGGCTTGTGAGCTCACAACTGAGCAAACATAAGAATCACAAATATATCTGCGACCGGTAAGTTTATTTTATATTATTTGAATAATTATAATTTATATAATTACAATATGGATTGTTTAAATCTTAATTAAAATTTTTCTTTCTTTTACAGATGCTTGCATTATTTTGGTTCGGACGCCAAGTTGCAGTCGCATACGGTCGACTGCGGGGAGATGAACGACTGCGCTATCCGATTGCCGAGCGACAAAGACAAGTGGCTCGAGTTCCACAACTACAACAGGAAAGAGCGGCTTCCATTTGTGGTCTATGCCGACTTAGAATGCGTTTTGACCAAGATGGAGGAAGAGAAAGAAAAGAACGCGTACCAGCATCATCGGGTATTTAGTATAGCGTATTATATGCATTGTTCGTACGACGAATCTTTATCGGCGTATCATTCGCGTCGTAGCGCCGATTGTATAGCATGGTTCGTCGAAGATCTTAAAAATTTAGCGATTCGCGTTAAGAATATTTTAACGATTAATGTCCCTATGGTAAATTTAACATCGGAAGAGTGGGAAAAATTTCACAGCGCAACGTATTGTCATATATGCGAAAAACCGTTTACGCAAGAAGATGATACACGCGTACGCGATCATTGCCATCTGACCGGTCGGTATAGAGGTCCAGCACACTCAAATTGCAATCTAAATTACAAAGAATCATTATATATTCCGATAGTATTTCATAATTTATCAGGTTACGATGTACATTTTATTATCGAAGATATTGCTACGGCGTTCGAAGGGAAAATCGAATTACTTCCGATAACCAAGGAAAAATATATTTCGTTTACAAAAACTGTTAAAGTCGCACAGGACAATTGGAAAAATTATATAAAATTAAGTTTTATCGATTCATATAAATTTCTTACGGCAAGTCTCGACAAATTGGTATCTTATCTAGAGAAAGATAAACTCAAAATTTTACATTCACAATTTCAAAATTTATCTGCAGAACATTTCAATTTTTTAACGCGAAAAAGTGTATTTCTGTACGAATATATCGATTCCGTCGACAAGTTGCAAGATACGTGCTTACCACCGCGTGAATCATTTTACAGTTCTTTGACCGGCGAAACTGTACCCGAGAGCGATTACGCGCACGCCGAGAACGTTTGGTCGCGATTCTCCATTCGGACGCTAGGCGAATATAGCGATTGTATCTGAAAATCGACGTCTTGTTATTAGCCGATATTTTCGAAAACTTTCGAGATAAATGTATCGAAAGTTACGAACTCGACCCCGCTTATTACTATACTCTCCCCGGATACACATGAGACGCCATGTTGAAGCATACGAAAATCACGTTCGAGTTGCTTACGGATATCGACATGGTTATGTTCATCGAACGCGGTATACGCGGTGGTCTGAGCCAATGTTCCAACAGATACGCGCACGCTAATAACAAGTACATGAAAGAATCGTACGATCCAACGAAACCATCGTCATACTTGATGTATTTTGACGTTAATAATTTATACGGATGGGCAATGTGTCAACCGTTGCCCTATGCCGATTTTCGATGGGTCGACGACGCACAGTGGGCCAAAGTCCCGAAAAGCTGGCCAAAAGTCAAAAAAAGAATTTCGAATTTTAGAGAATATTATTACATTTTCTAAAAGAGAACTAAATTCCCTATTAAATGTTGCCAACCCTAGAATTATATCTCCTATACCTGAAATTTCAAGTCAGTTCAAAGTTGCCCTTCGTACGGAACAGACGTGACCGTCAAGAATAACGAATATTTTATATCTATAGTCTTGTGCGTTTATTTCGAAAACGAAGTGCGCAAATTCAATTCTGTAAAATGGATTCTATTCCTGGAGGTAAGTATAATAAAAGACGATAATAACAAAATCTTTTTATATGTGTTATATATAGTAGATTTTAAGTTGAATTTAAGTCAGTAAGAAATTATATATTTTGAAAGAATTAAATTTTCAAGTAGCCAAATAGTTATGTATTCCACCTCATTCCGAAATGTTATTAGAACCATCTTTTAGCTTATATTTCTCTCCTTCGAATAAAAAAAAATTTAACTGCCCATATCTGCCCTTCTGGTTTTGCGACAATTTTCTGTACGAGCGCTCTGCGCTGTGAGTTTCGGTAACCTCCAATAGTTCCTGGTGCAATTATGGATGAGAGATATACTAGTTTCGATAGTGGATCTTCAGGAACCGACACTGAGTCTGATATTCATTGCGATTCTGATACTGAATTGGATTTTTGTTTATAAAATAAAAATGTGTTTATATTGTACGCGAAATATATATTTTGTATATATGTATATATATGTATATGTTTTGTATATATATGTATATTTCTTTTCTTTATTACCGACCTCGAAAACCTCAGGTATCAAATTTCGATTACATTAAACATATTT